GTAATGCACATGTGTCAAACTCAAGGCCCGCGGGCCACATGTGGCCCCCGAGCATTTTATAGGCCATAGAAACTCAAATGTAATATTTAAAACTTCAATACATAAAATCAGTTATTTAACAATATGAGGTGTTTCATTTATTTTCAACATTGTATTTTTATACATTTATGCTAGGGGTGCCCAAATAGTTTTCCAGAGCTACCATCTGCAGCTTTAGATGCTTTCCTTCTCTGACACACCTGGACCATTGACTCATTATAAGCCTTTACAGAACTGAATGAGGGAAGTCAACCTTTTGTCTGGGGTGTTTTAGCAGGGATGCCCTCCTGATTTGTACCGTCAATGTGGCCCATTGAGGGGGGCCAATATGCTGAAGTGGCCCTCGGTGAAATTGAGTTTGACACCCCTGATCTACTATATGTTGCATAGAAGTTACTTTTTTTACTTTTCAGTTAGTTTTGCGTCATTTCAAGATATTTCCTCTAGAAACGAGACAAAAATGCTTGGTACGATTTTATGTTTTCGCAGAGTGCTTGCTTGTCCTTCCAACGGACAAAGTTTCCATTTTTCCTGTTCAGATTTGGCCGAGTCTGAATTTGTACAGGAACTGAACCGGTAGTCAGTCAACTAGGTTGACTTTTTCTTAGATCCGGAGAATGTGTGTATCATATTTTGTTTGTTTGTGTGTTTCAGCTAACACAGCCCAGGTGGTGATTGATGTCCAGGATGAGAACGACCACCCACCGGTTTTCACCAGATCTCTTTACATTGGAGGAGTTGCAGAAGATGCCAAAACTTTCACCTCGGTCTTGCAAGTACAGGTGAATAAAAAAAGTCTAAAAGTGGTAATAATTTCTGTCTGCTTTCCGGGTCTTTTGCGTGTGTTTGAAGATTTTAGAAGCACAGTATGTAACAGGATTACCTGATAACATCAACATTTGGTTCTCTTTATCTACTGCTTGAAAAGCCTCCCTTTTGCCTATCTGCAAGGAATTTCATATCATAATGAACAGCTCGTGTGATCCAGTCTCATTAAAATACCTTTCAGCATCCAAAATAAATCACAAAGCCTGTTCCTTTCAAGTCCTATCTTTAAAAAATGTGCAATATGTTTTAATGAAGCTGGATTCCACAAAAGACTCAAACGAGTTCACTTACATAAAAGTCTAGCCTTTGATGTTTAATTATCTTTAAGATCATCCCTGCTTTATTAGACCTTACATGATGACTCTGACATAACAGCCTGAACCCAGATTAAATTAATAGTTTTGTGAGGAAGGGGAGTGTGCTAGCTCCTGTTGCAAACGCAAAAGATTTGTACCAAAGAGAAAAATAAAGCAAAAATACTACAGAAAATTGACTGTATATTCAATTTCACTCTTATTTGTTGAAGCATAATTTTGGACATGAATGTAGGAAACAAATGTAACAAAAGATCTCAGGGCAAGAATGCAAGTTTATGACGCAGCAGGGAAAATCGAGCTGTGTCGGAAACGTCCCTAAACATCCCTCACCAGCCCAAAATGATCCTAACGAAGGGAAATTTTTTACAGGATTTGTTTATTGCGGGTTATATTTCATTTTAAATTTTTTCCTCCAACTTATTTTGATTATTAAATTTGCTGCTTTCATAAACCAGCCATTGGCTGCAGAAAAAGAAATTACATCATTGCAATAGACTAGATATTATGAGACATGAGCAGAAAGGAACACAGTTTTACGATTTGGATGGAAGTCACTGAAAAAAATTGATTTCTCAGGAAGATGGACGTTGTTCTCAAAATAATATTACTGAATGAGTCTGGACTCTGTCCACCATGTATTATGACCATCATCCAAGAAGTTTTTAACAGTCTGCAAACTTGGATCTCTTGTGTCAAATTGTGCATGTGAGGAAGAGATTTTTGCATCACAAAGTTTTTTTTTTTTTTTTCTTTTAAATACAGTTATGCCATGATCTTAAAAATGCAATTAAAGGATGGAAAGCCATAACAGTGTTTTTGGATTCCGGATTATTTCAGCAGGAGATTGAGAAATGACACATGGGCCACCATAGAAAACTACTTTAGTGGAAATTGAAAGCTGTACATTAATGACAAAGCGTCAGACATCATTTTTGGATGTCCAGTTCTGTACAGTGTTGCTCTGGACATTTGCATGAAGAATTGATCAAAGTTGTACTGCCTGTAGTAGAGACACGACTTTAAGCAGTTCTTCTTACACGTGAATGTTGAATGACGTTAGGATACCAAACGTTGCGTGTGCAAACATTTTGCTTGTGTACTGAACAATGTTTAAAGTTTTATTTGTGTTTATTAGCTGAATCATTTGCTGTGATGCCAACCTTTGAAACATTGTCAAACGTGTCATTTTTACCTCCTTTAAGTCGTCTATGTTGGAACTTCTGTTGGCTGAGATAATGGTTTTCATAAATACTCGTGGAAGTTGCAAGGAAGTTGTTTTTGTCTAGAATAGTGGTGATCACGTCTGACAATTTTGCAGTTAACCTTCTCTCTGTGGGGACAAGAAAACACTTCATACCAACTTTGTGTACATTATGCATACTCATGTCTTCTTGTGGGAAACATGGGGAAGGATGACTAGTCTGACCATGAACCCTCAGGAGGATTCAGTCATCACTCATCTACTGATATCCTTCGTATGTAGTTTTCAAACTGCTGCTCCTGATGGCAGCCTTATCACACCTCACAGTCGCTGCTCTGTTTTCCATTACATTCCACAGCAATGCATGACCACCTCGGTCATTAAAACTGCAAAATCAATCTGAGTTCTCAATCTTTTCGTGAAGTTTTTCAGGTTTCCTTTTTTTTCATTATCCGTGCAAACGTCATCAGAGCAGACTGTCATGCCTTTCTGCCGTTCATGTTTAAGTGTCCCTTCAGCTGCCTCTCTGTCCTCTCAGAAATCCTTCCAAGATGCTTTTGGAGCTTATCCTATAAAACCAGTAAAAACATAACGGCTCTGGAGCGGCACGTCTGCATGTCTTCTTGTCGTTCTTCAATCATACAGTTTTACATAAATGTTGTCTGAAACTCCTTTGCTTCAAAGCAGAGGAAAGTGTTAAGAGTTGGTTTTATTGTTTAGATTCTAGTAGCAGCATTCCTACAAAACTAAAGTTGCTGTAGGTCTAAAACCATCATTGATCACCAGTTGAAGCGGTCCTGTCAAAAATGCTTTTGTATAGCATTTAGATGCTCACAGAACATTGATTTATTTTGTTTCTTGCACTTCTGGTTTCTAGAGAAACTGGCCAAGATGAGAAGGGTTTTCAGACTATTCTCGAGTCTCTATTTTGTGCCTCCTCTCTTTTGTCCTCCCTCCTGCTGTCAGGGAACAAGTAATCCATTTTAGCACACTGATGGCTTCATTTTTTAAGTTCACCTGGACTAGAGGAAACTGGAGAGATATGGCTTGATGGAGGAGCTGTGATTGAGAAGACACACTTTAGTCCTTTTGATTTATTGTATATATCCCATTTTTAAAGCTATGCTGTTTGTTATGTTATGAAAGACAATTGGCAAACGTTTCGAAAGTAAAAATAGGAGCTTAAATCATAACTGCTCATCTTGCAGTACTAAATGAAACAGAATAGCGTATCTAAACAAACAGGCTGATGATGCAGCTGCATGAGTTTAAAAAAACAAGCATGTTTAGTGTGGAGATGATTCATTTTTTATTACCTTATTTTTGTTTTCTATCCCCTTTGTGTTTCCTTATAACCATCCACTTTTGAGGATTAAGACAGTGAGAGGAGGCAGGAGATGAACTACGGATTTAGAAACAGAGGAAAGAGAAAGGCTTAAAGCTTCCCCGGGTTCCAGACAGGTTTTAAATTTTTTTGTGGAGCAGACACAACAAAGACTGAATGTTGCCAAGTACAGCACTTTTAGGACTCCCAGCTCACACATTAGCGCTGTAATTAAAATTGATGCAGCAGTTTCATCAAAACTTGTGTCCAGTTTTGTTTCCAGTTAGGAAACAAAACTTATTAGTACTGATGTACTAATAAGTACATCAGTATCACTTGCACTTATTAGTATCACCTATTATTTACTGTCTAATTCTCTAAAGTGTCAGCTTTAGAGTTGTAAAAGCGTAATGTTGGGGTGTTTTTTGTCAGGTGGATTTTATACTAAATAATCTAAAGTTGGATGACTCAAAGTAGTTTGTTTTCTTTGATCTGTCAAAAGCTTAATGTAAAGACATTTTTCTTAGTTTCCCTAAAAGATGATGAGCTAGTATCCATAATCAGAGCAGAAGCATGCAGCAACTACACTGATTCCAATACTTGACGGGTGCAAAGAGGAACAAGTCGGAACAAGAGGAACACAAATCCAAAAACGATTTCCTCCCCGTGTTACAAACGCACGACATGGCAGCGCTGCTGTGGCCAATAGCTGCCTCCACCATGGAGGCTGGACAGCTGTGTTCCAGTTTGTTGGGATACATATCTAAAAAGTCATTAATGAATCCACATGAAAATTTTACCAGAAGTTGAGCGCGGCCCGGCTGAGAGGCAATTAAGTTTTCATGTTGATCTGGATTTGGAGCTATGAAATTTTCATTCTGACCTGGCAGAGGGAATGCTGTGTCTGGCCGGCTCTTGTTTACCTTTTTGGGATAATTGGCACCGGCCAATTATCCCAGCTTCCATGGTTGATTATTTTCCAAAGCTGGTAAACACATCGGCAGGGCAGCGTTGTTTGTGAGGCTTGTCTGTAAAAATAAGGGAATTTAACTTTACTTTACACGTTTTTAAGTGAAAGTCGGTATGTTTTGGATTGCGGAACATAACTTAACTGGAAAGGTGATCATTATCATGCCGTCATTTACACATTTTGTCTTTTTCAACTGTGATCAGACATGTAAATAAAAATAGTTGTACTATGTTCAGCATAAACAAATATACAAAATGTTTAAGAGAAATATATAAAAAACTGTAAAGTGTATTAATATGTACCATTACACATTTGGGGGTTATAACTGTATGATTACTTCAAAAATACCAGTTAGGGATTTTTTGTTATTATTATTATTGCTACTTAAAGGAGAGACTTTTCAGCTGTTTTCATTAAACACACTTCTTGTTTTTCTATGTCCTTTCCTTCACAGTTATTTTTACCCAGGGATTTTATAAAAGGAGTATGACAGCAAAAGTTGTTTTAGCACAAAAATTGTTAAACAGTTTTTGTTCTTTGTTTTTGTTTTTTGTTTTTTTTAAAAGCAGGGATACATAAAATCCAGAGTTTTTTCTTTGGAAAATAAATGATTCTGGTACATAAATGGTCCTATCTGACAGCATCTCACAGGGAGCAGAAAGAATCAACCCCACTGTCAATTATTTTGAATGTTATCAACCAGTTTTATTGCCATGAAACTGAAATGAAACCTCTTGGACTGAAACTCACAGAGAAGAGACTATTAAGGTTGTGGGGGGGGAGACAAAAGAAACACCCTTATGCCATTTTTGCCATTCCACTTTCTGCCACTGGCTGCACATTGATTGACTTCATGGATGAGAGGACGCCCCAGGTACAAGGAAGGCAGCACACGAATGCCGGACTAATTTTTAAAAGCTCATGCATTGTTACACTTTATGTTTATTCAGTCAGGGCAAGCAAAAACAGAACGGATGGCCTGCAGCCATTAAAACGTGACAGAGGCTCCAGTCTGCCTCAGGGCTGCCTCGCTGTCTTGGAAGAACTAAATTTTTAAAAAGAATTTAATCAAAAGATTAGCAAGATTTCTAAAATGTATGTTTTACCTTGTGTCACAACGGTTATTTCTAAGGCACAAGAGAGCTTCATTATGTATTATGTAGAATAATTCAATATGGCATACTGTAAAGCTACAGCATAGAATAGTGTAGTACAGAAGATATTCTAAATTTCCTTAGCGCCGGTCTGTGTTGGAGTGTTTTACATTGACTTTAGGTTTAAATAGCGTAATTTCTCTTGTCCCTTATCATAAGAAAATAAAATATATATATGCATATATATTTCTATCATTGCTTTACCTCTGATGTGCTGGGTGTGTGAGAGCTTTGTATGCAATATGCATTTCTGTGCTGTAACACCTTGCTATAAATCATTGTCTGTCTGGGCAGGAGCTGATAGTTAGCCACAATGACAGAATAGATTAATGGATCTGCACACGGCTAGACGAATCAGCTTCCCCCCTGCCGCTTCTTCGTAGTAAAACAAGTGTAAGAGCAAAGCTTCATTACATCCTGAAAACTTTCAGGAGATTATTTAAGGGCAAGCAAATGTTTTTGTTCTGAATTAGTTCATAACAATGCAACATTATGAGGACTGCAGATAATGGACTAGATAATGTATAGATAAACCTCTTGACTGTGCTGGTTATTGTGTTTTGTAAATGATGACATTATATGTTATATTGCCAATGTTTTTGCTCATTTTCCAGGCTGTGGACGAAGACACTGGGAACTACAGCGCCATGGTCTACAGGCTCATCATCCCCCCTCCCACAGGAAAAGAAACTAAAGACAGCAAAGATGGATTTGTCATTGAACCGTACACCGGTGTGGTGAAGACGGCAATCACGTATCGCAACATGAGGAGGTCATATTTCAAATTTGAGGTGGCTGCAACAGACAACTACGGTCAAGGACACAGCAGCAGAGCAGAGATAGTGGTGCGTGTGTGTTTTTATTCTTCAACCTTTTCAGCTGAGACGTGTTTAAAGTGTTCTGCACAAATTAACTAAACATGAATGGCAGAAATTAACTCAGATTATTGGAGACTTTTAACTGTTAGTGAATGAGGATTATTTGGCTAGTATCTCATTTTTTATTTATTAATTGTCACTATGTCGGTTCAGATCTCATTTGTCTCAGGTTCCAATTAAAATGTATCTCATCTAAAGTGTTTTTCTTTTCTAGGTGTCTGTTGTGAACCAGCTGGACATGCAAGTGGTCGTATCAAATGTCCCTCCAACGTATGTTGAAATCAACAAAGATCAGTTGCTCAGGTAACAATGATGTTTTTATCCTTAAATATTTTGCATATTTGTGAAGCATTCAAGTTGTTTTTTTTTATCAGCTAGTAGTAGTTCATACCTCATTGTGTCAGGAGGCACGATCTTGTGATACAATGAGGCACACCAGGCAGCATACCTCAATGTAGCAAAACAGACAGATTAGCTTTTCAAAATAAAACCAACAAGTGTGCATGGTATGTTAAATGTCAAATAGGTAAGCACAACAATTAATATTTGTTGTTTATTCACTGTATTCGACCCTCCATCTTGATTTTCTTGACACTGATTTATTCATAATTACTGTTCAGTTTTCCCAGTGCAGGGTAGGGCTACCTGAAGACATCTAAATATCTCCAACTGAAGAAAGAGGTCACACCATGATGAGGCATTCAGTTGTTGTTTTTTTTCTGATTTAGAGCCATAAATCATCCCATCTTATCCACTTTACAGTCCATTTCAGTTTCTTTTACTTTTGTTCAGCCCAATTAAACCTAGTTTAGTTTCATACAGTCATATTCAATATGCTAGTAAGTATAACATGTCGGTTTTTAAAAAGCTACCTGAATAATAGATTACCATGAGTCAGTAATATGATTCATGGCGTAATGACCAAGAATGGAAGGAAGAACTATGATGAAGCCTGAAGGGAGCAAAAACAGCACGAAGAAACACACGTAACTATGATTCATAATACGACCCAATATCAGTATTTTTTTCAAGGTCTCCCATTTCTCTAAAATAAATTTAAAATCTTTAACCGAGAGGCACTGACCTGAAACAGATAATTAAATTTCTGAGAAAATGTTCAGCATGATGATTTTTGCTCATTTATCTGTTGTTGTTGTGTTTGCTGCCTGTTGTTTCAGCTTAATCCCGTCTCTCGCGCTCTCTTGTGAAACTTTTCCTCATTATCTGAGATTTTCAGAAACATTTTACACGCCGCAAAGCAGCTAAAATATTTGATACCTTATTTTGCTCCAGTGTGATTTGTATCTTCTCTGGCTTAATTCATGCAGAATTATGTCTGTCCACAGTCTGGGAAACACATTTTTACTCATATCTGAAAAGCAAAAACAGCGTTTAGCACTAAACATCCCATGTATTATTCATAATGTGTCATGATATGCATATGCATTCCTTCGTTTGTGCTTTTTTTTTTGTGACAATGCACCACAGCTGCACGGTCAGCTCCTGCTTTTGTTTTGGCTTCTACATATAATTTTAATTTATGTGCTTTTACCTCTACAAGCTTCTCCCTTTCACACAGTCACACCACAGCAGGGGAGCTCCTGTGGTGAGCAGATGTTACTGAGGGAGGGGAAAAAAAATAAATTAAAAATCAACATTTAGCAGCACAAGCCTGCACAGCCAGCAGGAGGGGATAAATGCATTTGCAGTGGGGCTGGAGTCCGACGGCTTTGTTTGAATTCAGTTCCACTCAGAAGTTCACACTCATTGTTGGCATTAACTTTGTTTTGTATTTATGCTTTTAATGATGCATTTGAACAGTTCCTTTTTTGGGAGGTGAAATCATACAAGAGCTTCAGTGAATGTTAAAACCAACAAGCCAATCATATTTATTGTGGATTTTGTCTGTTCCACTAGTCAGGTTCAAATATATACATACACTCCCACTGAAAAATGGACTAATTCTCCAATAGCGAGCTGCAGAGGTACAACATTCATGTTGTATTTCTTAAGCCAAAAGAGTCAACAAACTTTTGGCTTAAAGTTGTATCTAGATATTTGACCACTGAGTCAGTTAGATGTCTGGCGTCAACCGAGCTTTTGAACAAAGGACGTTTTTTTACTATACAGATTTATAGTAATAAGAATTGCTGAATCTTTTATTCCAAAACGTGTGATATTTAGGATTTTTGTCTTGTTCAAACACTGAGTTGTGCTGTATTCTTCTTTTGTCCCAAAGAAGTTCACAAGATTAATGGATTTAAAATTTTTTCTCCTTAATTAAATTACACCATAGCAGTGAAACCGGCTCTCAGGATGATGCCGTCATCACTATACTTGACAGTTTGTTTTACGAGATCTAAAAGTTTCACCTACACTTCAAAGATTCTTCTTGTCATTCTGGAAAAAAAGAAATGCTCAACATTCTTCACTTATCACAAAAAAATGAGGTGTTTTCCAAACTCAAATATTTAAATCAGGTATTTTCCGTCCTCAGCATTTTGGAACGCTACGTTCAGGAGCAGGTGGTCGGCGCAAAGGTTGTCGTGGAAACCATTGGGCCCCACCGGGATGGCGAAGCGATGGAGATTGAAGATTACACCAAGTCAGATCTCATGATTTATGCCATCGATCCTCTGACAAACAGAGCCATATCTAGACAGGAGCTCTTCAAGTAAGCACCTTACCTGCTACTCAGGAATGAGCAAATGTACTTTATTTCCCCGTTAAGTTATTGGCAAATCTATTTGTTTTGTGCTATATTGGAAAAAAATAAGTACATTCAAGTAAGCTGTTGGACCAGTTGTCTTTTAGGGATCTTAGACCGGAGTGTTTTGGGGTCTTTGATCAGCAAAATGATCAAAGAAAAAAATACTCAGTTTTTATTTTGGTCATTGCTATGTTTTTTCTATTCTATTGACTTTGCCCCAATAGATGTAATTTGGGTTGGACCCTGAAGTCCTTTACACTTTAGTTATTCAAGATTTAGGTCTTCCATTCATTTTGTAAGATAACTGGGTGTAAATGATGTTTTTGTAAGAACATCATTTACATTGATGTACAAATTATAAGTGAAAAAAGTTTAAAGTAACAATGCATATGAATACTTTTGCAAGACACTGTAATTAATACTAAAATACCATTTCACATAGTTAAATGTTTTGTACTCTGTTAAAGTGAGCTTTTGTCAAATTTAAATATGTACAGTTTGCCTTCAGATTCAAATATACAACAGTTTTAATTTCAGACACATTTCTGGTATTATTGTGGTCTATATTCACACCATTCATGAGGAGAGAAAAAACATATTCCATCTTTTTTTAATTAAAAATATTTCAAGCAGGCTCACCCACCGAGCTGATGAGCAGGCTCTAGTTAGCAGAACTAGTCTTGGCTGTTAAATAACCAGATTTAAATACAAAACCGTGACAACAGCAGCGTGTTTCTCGTTTAAAGGTTTCTCGATGGGAAACTATTGGACATCAACAAAGCGTTCCAGCCGTTCCTCCCTCCTGGTGGCCGGATTCTGGAAATCAGAACCCCCGAAGTGGTGGCCAGCGTAAAGAAAGCTGTGCACAGCGTTGGCTACACAGAGGGGGCACTCTTGGCTCTGGCTGTTATCATCATCGTCTGCTGTGTTCCCGCTATTTTAATTGTCATTATCACATACAGACAGTAAGTATCGTTTTATTTGTGCGTATTTGCAGTAAAACCGACACTGTAATCTTAAGCAATTCAGACAGAAAGACACATCTGCAAATTCCAATTGGTTTATGTATGAACAAATCCCCATAAATAGACAGGAACTAACAATAATCTGATCCTATTGTTAGGATCAGATTATTGATCCTAACAATAGGATCAGGTTATTACCTGGGAACTCAGGTAATAACCTGAGTTCCCAGGTTATTACCTGGGAACTCAGTGCTGTAAGTTATAGCTAATGGTAATATGCAATTTGGCTTTGCTGTTGTGTCTTCTGATAGGGTTCATTCATCACGATGAACACAGACACTGCAGTTTATTTGGAATTAGTCCAAGAGTCACCATCCTCCTGCACGTATTGATCCACAGCTAAAAATACTCTTTTTAAAATATGCCTCACTCTTTAGGTACAAACCACCTGACAGCCGTTTGAGGGCCATACTGGGCCTTTTGTAATATTTGGAATTAAAATGAAATTGCTGTAATTACTGAAGGCTGTGTTTGAGCAGACACATCGTCAGTTGGGCAAGTCACTGCCCCAGATGATTCGGCGTGGCAGCCTGCTCCATAGTGCCAGTTGTAATAGTTTGTTTAGCTAACTCCACCATGAAAGCTATTAAATTCCCCGAAATGCATATAAACAGCTGTGCATACACAAATAAATTGGATCTGGTCTTCTCCTGCTGAGAAACACACAAATAAACCGGCAGAGGAGTGGAGATCTGTGGAGGGGAGGGAAAAAGCACAGCGATAATCATTATCATGATGATCACTATTATCTGTTGCTAAATGACTTTAATGAAGAGCAATTGCACGACTTTGCTCGTAAATTACGATAAGTAAATTTGGCTAACAAAAGATGCCGCGTGATTTATGCTCCAAATAATCCCAATCTTTCTCTCTCTGTCTCTCATCTGCTGCGTGATCTGCCGCTTCCAGATTCAAAGAGTGAGTACCCGCTTTTATACTCCCCTGATCATATTAATGTCATAGCCGTCCCAGACACTTTTCACTGTGATTAATCAGCTGAGTTTCATTGGACTATGAAATGGATGAGTTCAGAAGTGGCTGTGAAACAAGGGGGACAGCAGGCAATCAGAGAAATGAATCCTGAAGAACTCTGAGATTGATTCAGGGTTTCCACGCCGTCTGAGATGGTCTGGGGAAAGAATTGGACTTTAAATTAGGCACTTTTCTGGAGAAGAAAACAAATAAAGAGTGAATGTGCATTTCCAGAATGTCCTTCCTTGTTCAGCTGTTCAGTACTAGTTTTTGTCCATCTTTCATTTCCATCTGTCATCCATCCAAACATTTGAATGAGATTTTATGGCTCTAGAATCCAATGTCACTTTTTAAAATGGGCTTTGGCAGCTCCTCCAACTTTAGGGAGACTATTTTACATATTCACTCTGTGTGAAACTGCACTGCATTTAATTCAGTTCATAGATTTTGATGATGTTCTCCATTTTAACTGGCTTGGGGGAGCAACAGAGGTGATCAGCCGGTTTATCGTTAAAGCCAGAGCTGCCGCTGCATTCGGCTATATCTGGTATAATCAGCGAACTACAGTAGTTAATGCTACATTTTAAATCAACTATATCCTACTGGTAGTTACATTATGAACTCAGCCTGGTAAACTTGTTAGTAATCAACATTTCCGCTTTTACGTAAATCATTTCATCAACCTGGATGTTTGTAGCCCAGCTCCTCAAGTCCGGCCGGGCAGCTCACTCAGTGACCAGACAGTCACAATAAATCACAGTTTCTGTTTAGAGTTTTAGATGAGAGATCTAATCATTCAAAATTTCACTGACAGACAAATTACTAAGCAGACCTGCTGGTCACCAGAGCCCTGACACAGGGAGTCCTGGGGTCCTGGTTTTCAATTAGAAATATATCACAGCAACAGACACGGAGCAACCAAAGTGACACTCAGCTCAGGTCAGAGAAAACACAGAATGGAAACTAAAAACAAACGCTAACATTTGACTAGAAATAGAAGCAGGCAACAGCATCAAAAGATCTGAGATTTTCCAGAAGCAAATCAAAGAATAAAGACAATATGAAATATGAACAAAACATTCGTTTTTCTTTATTTAGGAGTGATAGAAAGCTATAACCATTATAGCACAAGATGACTCAGAAATGCATTTTCTCAGATGGCTGGGCAAAACAAAGAACCGTAATATAACATAAAATGGATCTGTAAGCATATCTATGCTTTTAGAAAATAAGGTGAGAAACCATCTGCAAGATGTTTGAAGAGCTCAAACCGATGCTGATGATGCTGACATGCTGGTCTTCTCGATTTTATTTCAGCATTTAAGCAACAAAAATCTGTCTTTGTGGTTTGTGGTTAGCTTTATAGATTGATTTTGAATAGTCAGGCGGCAGGATTTCGATCGTTATTCTTTCACCTAATATGTTTTGTTCTGGAAATCATGACATTGTAGACTGTGAGCTTAGGATCTCCAGGAAGAAAACCTGAAATAGTTCAAGTAGTAGCACAGCGGGATGCCCCCGTCACCGTCTCCGTCAGGATGGTGATCATCTTCAGGGTGTTTTGCAGTTAATTTTACACCGTGCATAACATTTTTCTTGGAGGTCAAAAAGTTTAGTGCTTGCAGAACAGTGTTGTTCTTGTCAATGATCCATGTATCAGTTTCATTCCAGGCTTTGCGTTGTAGCATGATAAAAATGTGAAAAGGTTAAATGTTGCTACATTTAATCGAAGAAGTGTTCTTTACTACCTCTGATGAGCCGAACGATCGTGAACGATTGTTCCAGCATTACTCCACTTTGTGGAGTCATGGTTTTCCTCTAGACTTTTAGTGTTTTTTTCATAGTTGGTGTTTTGTATTTGCTTCTGTGACCAGGAGACAAGCAGAGTGTGCCAAAACAGCCCGCATCCAGATGGCACTGCCAACAGGCAAACCCGGGGGAGGCACTGCCAACAACCTGTACGAGGAGCTCGGTGACAACGCCATGTAAGCGAAGTGTGAAAGTGGCATTTACATTAACGAGTCAAAGCAGAGCCATTAGCTCACACTTTCAAGGCCATTATGCTCCAGAGTTTGGCAGTGTGACAGCTTCCATTGCTTTGTAGTGTCTCCGTGCGCAGTTCCACATTTCCTGCATTTTTTTTAAGTGACTACGAAAGTTGCTACCACAATAACAACTGCAGGCCTCATTTTTCTTATAAGCAAGTGATTCTTCACAAAACCAAAGTTGGAAGCAAGCCACTTATTTGCATAGAAGTTGGAAATTTAGGAAGAGAAATGTGTCTTCTGTTAAGTGCCTTCCAAATGCTAAGTGTTTAGCATTTTGTTTCTCTATAATCAAAAAGTTCAAGACTTTTTTATTGGAGTTTTATGTGATGGACCAACAAAACGCTGTGCATAATTGTAAAGTGAAAGCGTCAGTGTTCAGAAACTCCTTACATTTGGAATGTTGAAAACTCAGATGTGTGTTTTTGTTTGGTCAATCTGAGTCGATACTTTGTATTTACCCTTTCTCTTTGCATCTTTGACAAAACTGTATCTATACGCCCTCTTTACTTTTTAATTCGACTTGGTAGGTTTTGCTACATGCGGAGAGTGTTTAATAATACTTATGTTGTGTTCTTCTGTAAAGATCTTTCGAAAAAAGATTTTTTGGGGGGCACAGGGAGACCTTACATCATGCTCAAGGCCACCAAGCAGAATGCCTTTTTTTTTTTTAGGATTGTTGAAACTCAACTCATGTAGATAAAATATTAACAAATTTTCCTAAACCTAACTTTCCTACTTTTTGGCATTCTTATCCAGACCTGGAACATGATAAAACCAAATCCCATTGTTTTCAAGGCTGTGTGGGGACCGTGTGCATAGCCCCACAAAAACAGCAGGCAGTGCTTGGATAGTTTATTTATAATTCTTCTCAGATGCTGAGGAGAAGTTGAGAGGAATTCTTATCAGCATTACATGCATCGCTAGTTTCCTGTCTGTCCTTGATATGCCTCCACATTCCTATTAACATGAGAGCAATTCATATGCAAGATGGTGAAAACTATCTCCAAATGACAAGCGGGGTGTGTGTTTGTGTCTGCTCATGTGAAATGACTAAAGCCTATGTGATCCTTTGAAAAATGTATGCGGAATGGAACTTGGATATAAGATAATTGATATAAATGCAGCTTGTAATTTATAAAGACCACCTTGGGCAAAAATTAATTCTGCTGATAAGCTGCACAGCGTATTTAATTGTGGTGGGATGATGTTTTACTGCAAGCAGGAGTGTTTGCAGAGAAGGGAGTTTGAGGGGTTCTGTGAAATCCTTGTGTGCTCTGTGGTTTTGCCATCCGTTAGGGACTGAATCTCTAAAATGTATAAAAGCTGACAAAATGCAAATTATAGCACATTTACAGCTGAGTCTATAACAAAGGTCTTGAAGAGGTTAAAGCCTTTCTTTTCACTTCTTTTAGTTCGTCTCTTTGCACGGTTATATTTCAATGTCAGTATTTAAATTTACATAATGTTTTCCATCAGCTTCTGTTAGCTGCATTATAAAGGAGTTATAGGTTTTAATGTAAAGTCCAAACATATTAAAAGATTCATTAAAAGGGAGTATTATCAAAAAATGTAAAAATCACGGTTTGCAAAATCATGAATGCTGAACAAATAAACGTAAAAACTCAGAAGGGAGCAAATTTGCATCCCTTGATGTTGAGGTCACTGAGAAAGTTTTTTTTTTGTTGTTGTTTTTTTGCTAGTTCTTTTTTTGGGTATCTAAAGTAATTGTTTTCATAGCTTTCATTAAAAAAGTAAACACATTTTGTGAAACATTCACTTTGTCTCATCTGTGAAGTAAAAGTGCAGCTTATGAGCCGTGCCTCTTGCACCCTTCGCATGACTATCGGGAGGAAAGGTGTAAAATTTACAGTGCCACAGACGAACGGAATAAGGTACATGTGACATGACACTGCTGTCTGGGGTTTTGCTTTTTTTTTTTTTTTGTTCATGCTTAATTAGCACCTGACCATCTGGAGGTGAACCTTCAATGCATTATAAACAGCCTGGCTGCCCCAGCTATTTAGATAATTATTAGCTGGACCTTGTGTACATTTTGTAGCAGTGGAACATATCTGCAATTACCCATGATGTCTGTCTCTGATGTTGCAAAATTCTGAGTTTTTCAACATGTTCAAACTGTCCATCACAGGCAGACTAAGGTGGAGCTCAAATTGGGTTTGCTTCAGTATCAGATGCATAAAATTGTGCTTCTAGAGTGTTATTTACTATTGCAAAGACATCCCTTTCAAAGTGATTTTAAGTAAACTGGATGTGCGTTTCCAGTTTAACATTACCTATCAATCTTCCACAGCAGCTAAGACAGGAGCGGTTCATATAGTAAATGCCTACTTAGAATATCTATAAAGATCTGCTTTGCTAAATCTGTTTCTGAACACTGCAGCTACATTTCATATGCAACTGACATTACGCAGAAAACTCATATTTGTCTCAAGTGAATTAAACCGTTTGCCCTTTATTATCAACAGATAATAGAATGATCAGGTATTATGGAAAAATATATACATATATAGAGAAATCAACTACACCCCTCCAGTCATAGAAACACAATAAGAGCCAAGTGAGAAAGCGACAAAGCATATTGGTACTGTTTTTTTTTTTTGTCTCACTGTGAAATGAAATGTCATGCCTAATGCTAACTGTAGAACAATCATGATTCATTATATTATTTTTTTTTACCGAGCTGTTCTTATGTCATTGTTTTTCTTGTTCAGATGCTCTAATTATGTGATAAGGCAAAGTCAGTTGTTTAAAGCTCTTTTAGAACGTGCCATGTTGTAAACACATTTTTCAGTTACATATAATAACCTATTATTAACCTCATTTTAACCTATTCTCAGCAGCCATGTGTTTAAGAAAGGTGTCGTCCAGGAGAAGTTTGGCTTTATTCTGAATTGCTGTCTCTTTTCTGAAGTTTCTGAGAACTTTCTTTGTTTTTTCTTTATCAACGGCTCACTTTCTTTTTTTCCTTTCCTCTTTTCTGTTTCCATTGTTACACATTTATTCATGGCTGAAAGACAAAAGTAAGACATCAATGTTGTTTTGCTTCTGTGGCTAGTTTAAGAGAGTGAAATTCTTGCTGTGGCTAGTTTTGTGTCCGTGCTCGTTAAGTGATTTTTGTTAGCAGGAAAAGTAGAAGGATGTCAGATCATAGAGTAAAGCTTGCTTCTCTTTTACCAAGTTACAGATTGCAACCCCTTTTGAAGTGCTGTTCTCTTTCTTACATATATGAGAAGCCAGTTATGTGTCATGACAAATGAAGAATGCAAATTTGTTATCTTGAATGAACAGGTCGCAGTGCCCAGTGGAGAACATGATCAGCTTTTGTTGTTGTAAAATTTGCATACAGTGCCTTGCTTTTGCAAGTATTCATACTTTTTGAACAATTCCATGTTTCTTGGCATCACAAAGACCAAGGAACACAGTAGACAGTTATGCATAAATAAATAAAAAAAGATTAGGTTATTAAATAATGTTCCTAGACTTTGAACATCTCATGTGAGTAAGGGACAGTATTATGTATTTTCCAGCCACATAGAGCAATTTTATAGCACAATCAAGCAACTACACTGGCTTCAGTTGTTATAAAAATGCTGTATATGTCAAACATGACTTAAAAGAAATTCAACTTTGTAATTTGACACCTTGAAATTTAAGTAAATATAAGGGCGATGACATTTTGGTCAGATAAAAAAAAGAAAAAAGAAACACTTACCACCTAATGCACGCCTTCCCCGTGGTACGACATGGTGGTAAGAACATTAAAACGTGGGGATACTTTAATTTGTCAGGCACAAGTAAAGTGGTCAGACTGTAAGTGAAAGTGAATGGAGCTACGTACAGGGCAATCCCAGAAGAAAACCTATTAGAGGCTCCAGAAGACTTGAGATTGTCCTGGAGGTTCACTTTTAAACAGGACAAGGACCATAAACTTACAGCCAGAGTTAATACAGAATGGTTAAAATCAAAGCATTTTTATATGCATGTTAGAATGGCCCAGTCCAAGTTCAGATATAAATGCAACTGAGAATTTCTGGCAAGGATCATGACTGTGTCCATCCTTGAGGGCTTTAATAAAAAAATAAAATAAAAACTGTCTTGAAAATGTCAGTTCACAATGTGTTAGTCTATTTAATAAAATCTGAATAAAATACCTCTATTCTTCTAATTTAAAATCTAAAATTATATTAAAAGCTTGAGGGCTATGAAACTTGTCATTACTTTTTTTACTGTAAGGAACCCTAATCTAAAGTCTGTTGTCAGTACATGTGTATGCTCACACATAAGCATACAGTGTCCTGGTAGTCTGCTGACCAACACATTTAATTTTGTGATTTGCATTACTGCTCCTTTTTCAAAAATGCCCTTTTCTTTCTCTGCTATATCCTTTAGAGTTTACTGTCATCGTTCCTTTTCATTAATTCCCACCTACTTTGTTTTTAATTCTTTGTTCCTCCCTGCATTTCATCTTCTGTCTCATTTTTTTTCTCCTTCAATCCATCTATCAGCCGTTCAAACCACGGTGGCGGTCGCAGCAGCATTGGCAGCTTAGACGAAAGCGACCGCCAGCGCCTGATCTCGGACTTTGCCACACGAGCCATCGCCGCCCATCGCCAGTGTCTCGCAAATGGAGGGGTGCTCAACAAACTCCCCAAATCTGAGTCCAACATCACTTTTCTGTCGGACGAAAACCCCCTAACTACCAAGAATCCCATCTACCATGAGGATGGAACCTTAAGTAGCCCTGAAAACCTTGGAAGCAACCAGAGGAGGAGAGACCTTCTTGGGAATTTTTCCCCTTCTAGGAGACGACTTCGAGACGCCTGGCTGAGGCTCAGCTCACCCGGATGTGACTTGCGATTTGGGGGATACAACGGCACCGACAGTGGGTGGGGATCAGGAAGTGGACACAGCTGGACTCTCCCATCAAGGTTGCATCGAAAGGAAATGTATGATGCTTTGAGGCGGCAGGTGGTGATGGACCCTGTGCAGTGGGAACATGAGCTTCTGAAGGCTGAATTCAAGGAGAGCAAAGACGCTGGTCTGGATTCGGGCTTTGAACACGGATTGGATTCAGATGTGATGGGAAGCCCTAGTCTTGAGCCAAAGCTGACAGTGAAGGAACAAGCCAGACAGTTTGAGCAACAGGCACTCCAGGAAATGAAACAACGGCAAAGCAGAGATTCCAGAGGCTCACTGTCTTCTGACATCCTACTTTCTGCAATCACAGACACTCCCCAGCATCAGAAGTACAGCCCTTCCCACAATGCTCCAGCTCCTCAGATTATGGAAGGTCCTCCGAGTATCATAGTGACTCAGAGTGATGGAGGCAGCCCTCCGCCGAGTCACAAGCCGACACCTCCTGTACTAAGGCGATTTGGAGCAAATTTAACTGGAAATCACATTGCAGAGGAAAGACTTCAGGTACATTTGGAGGTGATACCAGATCCACCTTCAACACCTCCACCACCACCTCCATCACCACCACCACCACCACCTCCCAGCTCTGCTCCTCCTCCCCCTCCTTCATCTCCACCTCTAAGTAACACTTCCATCCCTCCTGCCTCTCCAGCTCCATCTAACTCCGCCCCTAATGGTGCTTCCACTCCTCCGCCTCCTCCTCCTCCCCCACCACTTCCGCCTCCACCTCTGCCGCCTCCTGTATCTCCCTCGCTTGTGCGTCCGTCCACGTTTGTCCTCCCCACTCTCTCGGAGGCGCCGGTGCTGCGGCCCGTGTCTCTCCGGGCGCCGCCGCTGCCCGTTCACACGGAGCCCGAGCCTCCCCGGAAAGAGCTGAAGGGAATCTTAAAGAACATCCAAAACATAGCAGACATCGAGAAGTCTGTGGCCAACATGTTCAGCCAGATAGACCAGAAACAGATTCCACTCAAAAAGGTCATGAAGAGCCGGGCTTCTGTGGACTCTCTGGATTCTCTTGACTCTTTGGACATGTTGGCGGTTGGGGGAGAGCCAGAACAGAGAGGAGATGGAGGAGGAGGAGAAGGAAGAGGAGGCGAGGGAGAGAATAACTCCTCCATTCGACACATTCCAAACCCGAACATGAACTCTATTGTGGAGGAGCTTGAGAAGCGCTTTCCCTCTCAATCTACTATGCTCTAGCCTTTACATTTTTGTGAAGGGTGTAGTTACATAAACTTTTAAGCAAACTAAAATAAAATTCCTCTCTTCCTATTTGACACAAGAAGATATAAGCTGAAAATGAGGGGGGAAGAGTTTAGATGTCTTTTAGTTACCTCAAGGAAACTTGTTTTATATGCACATAAATTGCATCCCTGTTGATACCAATTCATGTTCCAGCCAATGTTATTCTTATCAAAATCTGTAAGGTTTGAGTTGCTTTTAACACTGAATTAAGCTTCTGAACAAGTCCAGTTCTGGTGAAATGAATCTGCCAGGAACACACCAAGACAGCTATGCTTTAATATTTTAATCTTTCTTAATTGAATCTTTATTTTAGTCCTTCTACAGGGCAGAGAAGGTGACACAAGTGTCAATTACTCTACTCTATTGGAACTTGCAAAAGAAAAACTTTAATAGTAAAGACTAAAGACTTAACTTGAACTCGTGGTCTGAGACTTGAATTTCATGAACAGCCATTTATTCTCATATAATCAGGTGTGCAAGCTGGCTGGCTTAATCCAAACCCTCCACTTTTGACGGTTTACATGCATGTTCTGTGAAAAGGTCTAAGAATTCATTGCTTTCTGTCCATGCTTACTCTAGCTTTATAGTTGCAACCAAATAGATTTATGTCAACCAAAACAACTTCAGGATATTTGGTAACACTTTATTTGAAGGGGGGTGAATAAGCCTTCATGAATATTTATGACTGTTGTCATAAAGCGTCATTCGGTAAATTATGACACTTTTAATACAACGTTGACATTATTCAAAATGTCTTTGTTATGACAACTTGACATTAACCAAGAAATAATTACTGTTTAAACTTTAATAACATAAAGTTATCTAATTTTTAAAGTGAAATCAGTAATACTTTATAACAAATTTATATCAGTAATGATTTCCTGGTTAATGTCAAGTTGTCATAACAAAGACATTTTGAATAATGTCAACTTTGTATTAAAAGTGTCATAATTTACCGAATGACGCTTTATGACAACAGTCATAAATATTCATGAAGACTTATTGATGTTCATGACAGGTGTTATGTCATGTTTATGACAGTGTCATGACAGTCTTATTCACCCCCCCTTCAAATAAAGTGTTACTGGATATTTTAATTTAAAAAAAAAAAAACAATTTGAGTTTTTCAAATTAAAATTGTTGTCGATATTCTCTCTGACTCACTACATTGTGCCTCTCTTTATATTTTGTAAATTATAACATACTTTTGAACATCTTTTATTGTTTAGACGTAAAAACAAATAAACATTAAAGATGCAGATTTATGGCATGTTTCCCTCCATGCTGCACTGGTTGGTAAAGGAGAGGACACTTTGAGCACAGGGACAAACAGACGTCTGTTATGTCATTACAAACACTTCCAGTTCTTTAAAAGGAAAAATAAAAAACACGTACTGTAAATTAATTCAGAAAACCAACATTAACTGGCATTCATTTCTTTCAACATAAATGCCTTCTTTTGAATTTGCTCAATAACATACCGTACCGATTTAGAGAACAATTTACTATACATTCTAACATTTAAAACTCCATGTTAAATATGACATTTTCAAAAAGATAATCATTGAAATGTCATTCTTTTAAATATCATGATATAAATTTACGTATATCTTGATAATTAAGTTAACCCCAAAAATTTAATTTATGTATCTTCAGCCTGGTGATAAATATTTGTTTGATTACTCAAGAATTTGGCAAACTTCTGATTCCAGATCAAATAACGCAGAAAAACAAAATGCATCTGTTTTCTAAACCCTAATATGAGCCAGTAAACACTGTATGAGTCAACTTCTGCTTTCTTCTGTTCAGATATTTTGATGTTGATATTTTTGCTTTCAGTCTTATTTCACTGTATATTTTTACATTTTCTTTAATACTTGTCTTCTTTCATCTAGTCCTCTTCATACTTTCCCATTTCTATTTTACTGTTTTTTTGTTATTGCCATTGCTACATAGTTATTGAGTCCACAGCAGTCTTCTTGTTTCTTCTTTTATAAGTCCTTATTTATTTTCTGTTCCTTGTATTTTTAGTTATTTGTTGCTGTTTTAGTCACTTTTTGTTCTCCACAATTTGAATTATTTATCCAGCATCTGTTCATCTGCATTGGTTAAACATATTTAGTTTGTTTTTTGTTTGTTTGCTTTAATGGTAAGAGCTGCTTATATGTAGCAGAAAAAACAAAGAATATTTGCAGACTGAGTTTTTTTATTATTACTGGTTGCAATGCATTTTTACACAATGTTCTGTAGGGAGTTTTATTTAGTTTTGGTTTAAATAAAACAACCCTATTTTTGAGTACTTACTGTGATGATGTGGAATTTATCTCAACGGCATATATTGAGCTGAACTTCAATTAATTTATTTGCAAGAAAAGCTAAATGTACCTATATGTGGTACAAAGACATATGCTGAATTAGTGTTCTTTTGTGTTACTGCATAAAACCACGGCTCTTTCCACGTTAGAAAACAGCCTCAGGGTGGAGTGGAGCAGCCATGGGCAAAGAAAAGAAATATGCTCAGACTAAATGAAAGCACATGTGTTGTTTTAGGTTGATGACAATTTGCAGAAACCTCTTCATGGGTAATAGGGTGCAAAATGTCCTTCATGCCTGCATAATAACATGCTAACAGGGTAATTCATAACCCTGTAGTGATAAAACACATTTAAAATCAAAAGATGTTTCCTTTGCATGTAAGGAGTGTAGACCTTCATCATTAAATAGATCTGTTTTTCTCAGACAAGGGTAAACATGCATAAGTTACCACATAGTTCTTTAATTTTTGAAGTCAGACTAACTTTAGTAACAAAAAAAAGCCAGAGTTGGTTATTTTCATGCAGATACATATGAAACCTTGCTGTATATTTGTAATGAGCATAATGCAAGTAGGGTGTTATGCTTCATTAATAAACCTACTAATAAGTCACATATTCCTAAATATGAACAGTTTTAAAAGGTAATTACAAAGTACCAGCACAATATTTTCAGGGGACTTCTGGGCTGTTCATCATCTAAAAGGTTGTTGTTAGTTCCCCAAGGTCCATTAGGTCGTATGGGAATCTGTAGCGTTCGCAGAAGGTTTACGTTGAGCCTGTGAGCCTTGGGTTCGTTCTGCAGCAAGGTTTAAACCTGCAATCTTTACAGAAACGGCATCTAAAGAAATGTCAGGGCCGTTTTGCAGAAGGTTTTTTACAGAGATGTCACTTGTGACTGTCTTTCTGAGAAACCTGATGACCGTTCACTTTACTTTCATCAGAATCAGACATGGTGAATTTGCCTCTAATTGAAAGTTACAAAATATGATGGTTGAAATATTCTGCCTTTAAATTGGACATCACTTCAAGAAACCGACGAAGCGCAAAGTATTCAGTGGTTAATCAGTATCCCTGGCTACCAGTACAGAATGAAGACAAAAGAACACTCCAAGCGAATCAGGAAAAAGGTTATTGAAAAGTTTGAGTCAGGGGATGGAAACTATGAAATAACTTGGGAGCCGAACACTCATTAGAGTTCAGTTAAATTCATCTTCAAGAAATGGAAATAATATGTCGGGTGTAAATCTGTCTCCATTATGCCGTTCTCACAGAGTCAGCGTGCAAAAAAGTGAGGATACCTGCTGACGATATCCTGCAGAAAGAGTCACAAGCTTCAGCAGAAGAGAGGGGAGAGACTATTTTATTGGCTCATTTCAAGATATCTTACGAACCACAAGACTTATTTATGAACTAAAATATGAAAGATTGTATAGAATTGCTCACTAATTTACATCGCAGTGCCTTACAGAGGGCATCATCCCATCTGCTCTCTTCAATCTCAATTTTTAAGCAATACCCTGATATGGAAAAAACTGCTTCATATTAAAGTTCATTCTTACTTCCCCATATTGATCCAAACGCTGAGATGCTTGTTTTTTTTGTAGCAAATTCAGTAGCAATTGACTTCCACGCGTTGCTGCATCTGTTTCACAAGACTAGCACTGTTGATCATGTCACTGTAATTGTATCCAATCATGGTGTGCAGCCAAATAAAACCCACTGTGATGCTGACTCCCCTGGCATTCTAAGACGATTTCTGCTGTCAGATATCCCACTGGACGGTTTCCTCTTGTAATTTTACAACGCAGTGAGCTGGGGTGTTTTTCAGATGCTCAGCGGCGTGTTTCCATCACCGCAAAGTCATCATCCAACTATAGACTCTGTGTTGTCATGATGCGATTTCTATCAAGGGCTCTGCGTGCTCGAAACAATACCGGCATCACACGTTCAGATGAGTGGCTTGGCATAAGCAGCAGCGTGAATATGCAAACACACAGAGGCACCGAACAGGTTGCACTGCATCTGTTTCACATGACTGGGCTGAAAATGCTTTATATGTCGAGATTAGCTTTCAACCTCAGTCTGCTGCATCTTATTACACAGCCGCACACTCGTGCACGCACTGGATCTTCTTCTTTGCCACGCTGAGAGATTGTTCTTTATGCTGTTTCAGTTGTTCTTGTACAACAGAGCGTGGATACACAACGGCATCTTTGAAAATGTGTTTGTTTTATCCGTCGCATGTCACATCGTGCTCAGAAACACGAGTATAGGACAAAGCAAATATGTTTGTGGGAGGCCACCGAAGCAGCTGCTGCATTACAGCACATAACATAATACATGGTCGGTGTTCATATGTAATATTTGAGTTAACATTGATGTTGTTTACAATAAATATTTTACCCATGCTAGCAAGGTTTAGACACCATTTTTACTTTGCTAACCCTGACGACTGATTAGGTTCACCTATAAAACCTGTTTGTAAAATTTTTGAAATACAGATTTTTTTTCTATTTTATGTATAACTTCATCCTATTTATAGCATAATAACATTTGATTTTAAAAGACATCTGTTGTAAAAGTGTTAGAATGTGTGATAGCACATTCTAACACTTGGAAAAACTTCAGGAAAATACATGTATTTAACAGAGGGAAGAAAAAGTTAAAAGAATAAAGAATAAAGCATGGGACTCACCACATTTTTAATCAGCTGTTGGGGGATTTGAGCTTTCATGCAGACCTTAACAAAACCAGATTTTTCCTCGAGGTCAACTAAGAGTGAGAAGAGAAAACAAAACCAGGTTTTGGTGTTTCAGATGGTGCTTTGCCAGTGGAAAGAAAATAATTGATGCCCCCCAAAAAGTTAAGCCCAAAGCCCAGCCAAAGTCCTGACTTTGATCTGATAGAGAATCTGTGGAGGGAGCTCCACATTAGGGTGATGGCGAGGAGGCCTTCCGATAGCAAAGAATTGAAGCTTATCACCAAAAATAAACTCCAGCGAAAGCGCTCAAAAAGAAGCATTTGGTTGCTTAAACTGTCAGTAAGCCATTTTAAATCTTTTTTTTTTTTTTTTTCAAAACTGCGAATAATTTTGGGAATAACTGTGAGCATTGGATCTGCTTTTTGGGGAGGGGAAACTCACACAGTCGCAGACTACAAAACTGGAGAGTCTTTGTAAACATCCCACACATCCATGGGAAGAAGACGAAACCAAGAAAGTTACTGAAATTCAAACCAGAGACCTTCTAGTCATCATAACACAGAACATTTTGCACTTTTCCTCCCAACTTGAAAATGTATTTGTTTGTGAATT